GGCTGGGGCTGTAGCTCAGTGTTAGAGTGCTTGCCTAGCATGCATGAGGCACTAGGTTTGATCCTCAGCACCACATAAAAATAAACAAACAAAATAAAGGCATTCTGTCCATCTACAACTACAAAAAAAAAAAAAAAAAAAAAAGGAAAAAAATAAACACATGTATCTATTACCCCACAGGTAATGCTGAATGGCACCTTTGCTACTAGCTATCCTTTTAGTAAAAGGACCTTCTATGATATTGTTGCCCAACTTCAGAGCAGGAGCTGATGCAGTCAACACTATCAAATCCTCAAAAGCATCACCAAGGAGCATAGCTTTACTTATATCAATGCTTTAAAGTAGTTTCTCATGCAGTTAAATAAGTAGTCTGGTCCCACTTGATCCAGAAGCCAGAAAATAGAATCAGGGTCACATGGGAAGTCTCTCTCTACCCACTCCAAATGTGCACAGGATGTTCTACATGGGAAATGCAAAACTGATGCTTACAGGAAAAAGAGAATGGGAAATGGCACCCAGGAGGAAAGAAATGGGTACTGGACAGAATGGTACTGGTATATAGGAGTTGAGGTCAAAGTGATAATTAGGAACTCAAAAACGCCAAAAGTTTAAACAAAGTTGAAAGTGTGTATGTGTTTAAACACTTAGGATATCAAGAGGGAGTAATGATCTGAAAGGAGAGGGGATCGTTTGGGCACTTCAACTATAGACATAAGTAAACAATAAAATAGGTTTAAATGGCGCTGTTAGGGAAGTTTACTAAGGGCAGGTAGGACAACAGAAACCCTTTGTACACTCTTTAAACTAAGGGAACATGTAATCTGTATTATTCATGCACCTTTTACACAAGTTTACACATGCACGCACAATGGATTCTAGAGAGGTAAGTCATATGGTGAGGGTGCAAGAATCATTTGGATAGGATGTAAGTGGAGTAGGTCAGAAGAGTGTCAGGGTAGTGGGGGCAGGCACTCCCGACCCCAGGCCCAATGACAGAACCCAAGGAATCGAGGGTGGTGGAGGCTGCGCTGGTGTTCCAGGGAGAATCCGCATCACTCGGGTCGCTGTCACCCTTGATTTGGTATTTCCCCGACCCGGGCTCCCGTACCCTCCAAGGTGACGGTGTCCAGTTCTCGCTGGGAGTGTTCAGCCGCTGCCGCCACCGTCTTGCCGTCGGCCTCCCCGGTTGACCCGCTACCCGTCGCTGCCTCTTCTTTCATCTCCACATCCTGAGGGGCCGGGGGCTGTGGTGGTTCTTGTTCTCCTCCACCGGGCGGCGGCTTCGCCTTGTCCGCGCCACGGCGCCGCGCCGAGCCCTCCTGTTTCATGGCGCTCGGAGTCGCGGCCTAGTCCGGGGAACGAGGCCGGGGCCTCGCGTGAATCCTGGTACCAGGGACCAGGAACCGAGCCGGGCCTGCACACAAGCGCGGGCTAGCGTTGGGCCGCACGATGACGGAGCAGCTGCAAACCCCTTCCCGGCGCTGGGTCTTCTGGGAAACGCCAGGCCCCGTGGGTTGATGGCCGAGTCAACTAAGGGGAAAGAAGTCAACAGCCGAAGTGCAGGATGAAGGCGGATCTTGGAGGAAGGACGGGGAGGAGCCTGTATGAGTTTGTGGGGCTTTCTTTGAAGTGCTTAAATGTGTTGATTTTAACTTCTCCTCGAGTGCATTTCTGTGGGTGTCCACCAGAGGTCCCCTCAGACTCCAACCTGGACTACAACGGACTCTAAGAGTACCCCAACTAGAATGGAGTGGGTAGGGCCTATCCGAGCGTAGAGCGAGATGACGTCACAAGTTGCCGGGCGGGTTTTGTGTCCAGGCTCGAGGAATTTGCTGGGTCCCGAGTGGCCACTGGGATCCGCCGGGCTCGTGCTCAACGGCTGCCCGGGGCATCCAGCGCGAGGCAAGAAAAGAAGGCTGTGGAGGAGGGCTAGGCTGTTGGGGTTTAAATAAACGGAATTGGGGAGTAGGAAGAAACCCATGGATCCGGACTTCCTTGTCAGATTGTAGTTTACTGCTTTCTCTGCAGCCTAGCCCGGCGGTGGCAGGCACACACGCCTATAATCCCAGGGACTCGGGAGTCTGAGGCAGGAGGATCTCATATTTAAGTCCCACCTGGGCAATTTAGCGAGACCCTGTCCCAAAATTTAAAAACAGAGGGCTGGAGATGTAACTTAGTGGTAAAGTGCTCCTGGGTTCTATCAATCCCCAGTACACCGCCACCCTCCCTAACCCTCCCTCACCAAATCTCTGCAGCCTGGGAGTGTGAATGGGGGAGAGTGTGTTTGCGTAGAATCACTGCAGTTTAATAAAAGATAGGGGTCCACTCTCTGTGTGGATGAAGGTTAGCAGAAGGCATGGGTGGGGGTGTGGAAAACTGCTCAAGAATTTAGTACAGTAGCGGGGAGGGGTGGGGGAAAGGTGTCCGAAGGTAAGATAGTGGACAGTCTGCTCTGGCCTGCAGCAGATTGTAAGGGTGGAAAGTCTCCACTGGCAGAGGCTTTAGGGAACCTGTTGAGGGGCCTTAAATTGGACCAGAAAGAAACCCTGCCCACTTACATTTCAAAGAACTCCCCCAGTGATTCTGTAGGGTAGGAGGATACTGGTTCCAGTTTCTTAAGATACAATACAGTAATTTCCTATCTTGGAACCTTGATTTTTTCCATAAATGGAAGTTCTAAGTTTTAGACCTTGGATGGATCCTTCACACAATCTAGCCCTGTTGCAAGAACCTAGAGGCAGAGGATATGTTTTGACTATATTCTGGTTCGTATTCATATGAATATATGTGATATGGTTTTTTTTTTTTTTTTAAGAGAGAGAGAGAATATCTTTTTTTGTAGATGGACACATCCTTTATTTTTATGTGGTGCTGAGAATCGAACCCGGGTTCCGCCCGTGCTCTACCACTGAGCCACAATCCTAGCCCTTATATGTGATATCTTAACATATCTTTTGTATTCTTCCTTTCATACTATTGCTGCAAATAATTGCCTGTATTAAACAGCCACCTTGCTAAATGAAAAAAGTGTGTGCTCCAGTTTTAAAGAACATGTTTTGACCAAGTCCTTCCTGTCCTCTCACCTCCCAGGGCTAGAGTTTGGATAACATTCTTTTGAATCATCACTGGAGTAAACACATTAAAGTGTCTTCTTCACAACACCATATCTGTAGCTGAGGTGGATGAGAATGATAAAGGCAGAATATAGACTTGCTGTGTTGTTCATCCTTACAATCCAAGTTACCCTTCTGGATAGTTAAGATATAACTCACCTGTCTATTAATTTTACATCACAAGGGAAAAACAACCAAGTCAGCAGATAACAACCCAAGATGTCCATGAGCAATTAGTGAGGCTTTGGAAGATGCCCAGAAGTGGGAGGTGGCTTAACACAAAGCTTTTGGCAGTTGATCATGAATTCTTGGTGAGTGAGGGAATTAGCCTGGGCAAGTGCTGGCTAAGAAGGGGGAGAGTTTGATTCCTAGGGTCGAAAGCCTTGGAGAGATTATCCCTCCCATAAAACTACTTCAAAAGAGATTGGTGGAGCTGGGCGCAGTGGTACACACTTGTAATCCCAGCGACTCTGGAGGCTGATGCACGAAGATCAGAAGTTCAAAGACAGCCTCGGCAAATTAGCAAGGTCTTAAGCAATTTAGCAAGATCCTGCCTCAAAATAAAAAAGCTGGAGTTGTGGCTCAGTGGTTAAGCACCTCTGGGTTCAATCCCCAGCACTGTGGGTGGGAGTGGGAGTGGGGGTGGTAAGGATTGGTGGAAGATGTTCAAGCCCAGTTTTAGACAGAGAAGGATGTAAACATAGAAGTTTAATGAGAGTGCAATACACATATTAGCAGGTCAATAGGTCAAACCTATCCACACTGCTTTCTCCCACAATCACCCTGAATTGAAGATAGAAAGCTGAAAGAAGAAAATAATACAATTTTGGGGTGGGTACTGGGGATTTTTTGGGTACTGGGGATTGACCCCTGGGGCACTTAACCACTAAGCAACATTCTCAGCCCTTTTTAAAAATTTATTTTGAGACAGGGTTTCACTGAGTTGCTTAGGGTCTCACTAAGTTGCGGAGGCTGGCCTTGAACCTGTGTTATTCCTATCTCATTCTCCTGAGTTGCTGGGATTTGTGCACCATTATGCCTGGTGGAGATAACACAATTTAAAAAAAAAAAAAGTTTTGGGTCAATCTCATTTTTGGGTTCCATTTTTAAAGATTCATCTGCATTTTCTAATCAACAAACTTGAAAGTTTTCTTCTTGTGTGCTTGTACTAGCTCTATTTTTTCCCACCCCTAATCCCTCAACCTAGGGCTAGAGGACTCCAAATGTTTTTATTTGAAGACAAGATGCCTTGATGATCTTGTCATTCTACATTCCACTTTCTATACCCTTATAAATGTTCTCTAAGCATTTTCCAACTGACCTGAGGACAGTAGAGTAGTATCTTGTACATATGATTCATAGGTAGTAGGTTAATCTTTCTTTCTTTCTTTTTTTTTTTTTTTTTTGGCATAAAGAATTTCCTTATGACAAATTGTTTTTTATTTATTTTTATTGGAACTTTATGGTTGTACATAGCTGTTTGGTTCATCCCATGACAAATTCTTTAAAGAAAAACACCAAAAGACACATTATCCTAATTTCCTCTAATTCCTATAAAGCTTGTTTTTTTCTAAGCACAAGTGGGAGAGATTAGGATAGGAAACTAATTTATCTTTTTTTTTTTTCAGTTTTGCTGAAATGGCTCATAGTTTAAAGGTTGAGTGCTTCTATTTCTACAGGATTTAGGCATTAGCAGACCAGCTTAGTGGGTTGTGGAGGTAGAGGGTGAGATACAGAGTGGGGCAGGTAGAACTTGGTTATCATGGGTGATCAATTAGGATTTTAGTCCTCTTTGTCCTGGTAGTTCTGAAATGCCTTTGGGTATTAAGGACACAGCACTGTGAGTCTGGGCAGGCATTGGGGAGCAGGGGGCAGACAGAAGTTTCATTAGGAAGCCTTAGTTAGCAGGTGAAGGAGGGAGAGACCAGCGTAAAGGGCACAAAGGTGGGGGAGGGCGTCTGGATCCCACGTGTATTGGGGGCCTGATCGCTGCACTTCCAGGCCACTCAGCCCCACTAGAGCTTCTGTGAGGGTCAGTTCCTCTTCACCAAGGGAGGAGAGCAACTCAGGTTGCAGGGGGAAAATGCCCTCTTTATCCTGCAGAAAATTCTGTTCCATCATGCTCTCCACCTGCAAGAACCAAACAAAATATCATGGAAAGGAAGATCTAGAAGGCTCTCTTCTTCTTCCCGACTTTGTAAAAACCATAAGGTTATATTCTCCTTATCATAACTCCTTATCTTTCACATTACAGCTCCATGTGTGTCTTTTAACAGCCCTATACAATCAGCAGTGCATTTATTTTGGCCCCATTTTACTGAGGAATAAATCGAGATAGACTCAGAGACATTAAAAGATTTGCTTACATCACTTGGAATAAGCAAAGCCAGTTTTCTGTCTCTTCTCCCAAGAACAGGCTGATAAACCCAGAGTATGGCCAGAAATTCGCCCTTCCCCTTGTTGTGAAATAACAAAAAGGAAGAAACATGGAAAGAGAAGTGAGCATGAGCTCTTGGAATAAGGGAGAGGCCTTCCAGACTCTTCTGTCATCAGGCTAAATCTATACCTTTCCATTGGTTCTAGCTACTTCCTCCTGAACTCTGCCTGACACTGTGTGTGTGTGTGTGTGTGTGTGTGTGTATTTCTCACCAGCTTAAGCTGCACTGGTAGGATCTTTTTCTCCATGGACTTTACCAAAAGCTTCTGTTGGGCTTCACTCAGCACTGGAGAAAAAAAAAAGCAGAGAAAGAGATGTATGTTGTTGGTGCAGAGAGGATAGCAGACTCCAAATAGTATACTTCTGGAACTCAGGCAGGCATTGATTGATTAATTCATTCCTTCATTCATGGTTGAATGCCTGCACTATGCTAGGCTTCTCTGCCAGGTGTTATGTAAAAATCATACTCCCTTCACTCAAGAAAATTGCAGTCTTATAGAGAAGACAAAGAAACTGTAGTGGAATTACAGTTTGGGGTGTTAAGGGAGCCATGGCTGAGGGGTCTACTTTGGTTCTGGCTTTTGAAGGCAGCCTTCTTATGGGAACAAACACCTCAGCTTATACCTAAAGGACAAGAGAGTTTTTTTTCTTCCTTGTTTCCTCCCCTTCTTCGCCACCTATCACCTGACTCCAACCACCAGAGTTTTCTAAGTGGGGGGATGTTTCATGTAGAGGGAAGGAGAGAATGTAGAGACAAGATTATAGGATGTTACTCTCAGAAATGAAAGCTAACAGATATCAGTATAGAAGTGTGTGAGCTTAGCTATGTGCAGAAGGTTTATATATGTAGTTGAAAAAAGTGGGCTTAATTCCCAAATCTATAAGAAAGACTGTCTTCTCACGTTATCCAAAGAGATCAAGTGAGCCAGATGTGGTGGCTTGGGAAGTTGAGGCAGGAGAATCGGGAGTTCAAAGTCAGACTCAGCAATTTAGCAAAGCCCTAAGCAACTCAGCGAGACCCTGTCTCTACATAAAATATAAAAATGGGCTGGGAATGTGGCTGAGTAGTTAAGCATCCCTGGGTTCAATCTCTGATACCAAAAATAATAATAACAACAAAATATACACATACACAAAAGAGAGATCAAATGAATCCTTAGGAATAGAACTACTTTTTAAAAATGCATATATAGAGCTGGGGATGTGGCTCAAGTGGTAGCGCGCTCGCCTGGCATATGTGCGGCCTGGGTTCGATCCTCAGCACCACATACTAACAAAGATGTTGTGTCTGCCGAAAACTAAAAAATAAATATTAAAATTCTCTCTCTCTCTTAAAAAAAAGAATCTACTCTTTTAAAAAAATGTATATATAAACTACAAAAACTGTAGTATAATGTCCTGGTATTCACTCAGGTGATTCATTTCTATCACTGAAAAAGTGAAGATTTTATTCCCTACTTACCTGTTAGGGCTCCAAGGAAATAGAGGACAGCATCCATAGCCTCCTTTGATAGTACGATATCTTTTGGGAGTGCCTCCAGGGTTACTTTATGTCCCTTGTCTAGAGCCCCTTCAAGCTGTGGGAAAAGGTAGGTGACATTTAAGATTGCCCAAACAAGCCTGGTGTGGTGATTCACGCCTGTAATCCTAGGGCCTTGGAGGCTGAGGTAGGAGGATGGGAGGTCAAAGCCAGCCTCAGCAGCGAGGCCCTAAGGAACTCATTGAGACATTGTCTAAGTAAATAAAATAAAATAAAT